CCCTCCCTGTCTGTTAGGGTTAAATTGTTTTACCGACTTGTGGGGAATTTCCATAAAAAAGTCGTTTCACCATCATCACAAAAAAATAATTATTAATTAAATTAAATTCATACCAAGAAGAAGTACTCTGTCATTTTTTTAAATTCTTTAACACTTCTCTCCAAACTTTTGTGTTCCCTGAATATCTCCGGAATTATCCCCGATCCAGTCCTTTCAGACTGAACTCTTTCTGTTCCGTTCTTCATTATTCCGCTACTAAAATAATGTGATGAATAGTTCAACATATTTGTGAAAATGTAGATCAATAACTTTTTCCGCAGAATGCAAGAAAATAGACCTGAGTTACGTAGGTATTTATGTGAAAATAATTATATTCAATGTTTTTGTTTTGTTGAAAAAATTATCCTCGATGCATGCACTGAAGGTCATACCTCAGAAAGATGGCATGATAGTCAATGACATTGGAATCGTCACTCTGATTTCTTTATTTCCGTGAAAAGAATAGTAGAATTCTTTCTCGAGATGAAACACTTCGTTATTTTTTGCCAATTTGGTTAGAAATGACTTGGAATTCCGTGATATTTTTCTGAAATGAATGAATCCTGTGAAAATTCAATAAAATTCTCCGGTTTTCTAGAAAATATGGATATTTTTTCACAATTGCAGTCTTTGTCAATCCATACAAGTAAAAAATCCCTAGCGGCTATAACATCAGGCATCATCCGATCATGTCTATCTGATCAGAACTTGATCTGAACCCGCCTGTAGTTTTTAGGATCCGATCTGCTAGATCAGAACGTGGTCAGATTCTCATCAGGAATCACCAGATCAGTCGAACCTTACAAAAACCTGATCAAGTTCTGATCGTGCTGTAGGTGGGGCTGAAGCAATTTCCACTCGGGATGCGAAACCCGAGTGGAAATTCCGGTCAGGTTTTGATCAAGTTTGGATCAGGTTAGACCTGACCACTGATCAGGTATTGATCAAGTTGACGGATCCGGTCTTGATCAGACATGTTACGCCTCTGACCAATCCGGATTTGATCAGAAAGAACGGATCCGAACTTGATCAAGTCAACTGTATGAAAACTGGATGACCTGTCAGTCAGTATCAATAACAATTATCAATGATAATTAATCCAAAACAAAAGATAATTCAATTCTTCCACCGTAGGCCGCCTCTCTTAATGAATCTCTACTGTTACACGTAGGAAAAAAATCGTATAGAATCTTTCTATACGGACTGTGTATAGCATTTCTATAGGTTTTTCGTATATGATATTCGGATATTTCTATACGAAAATTTCCTATACGGTTCATTTCTATACGAATTTCTACACGAATTCGTATAGAAATAATCCGTATAGGGAATTTTTGTATAGAAATATCCGAATATCATATACGAAAAACCTATAGAAATTCTATACGCAAATCGTATAGAAACTTTCTATACGATTTTTTCATACGTGTATTACCTCTGAAAAAGCTTATTATTTTTTTACCTACTGAAGAAAAAAGATCACATTTATTTAAAAAAGTAATCATAAAAAAGTGTGATTGAAAAATTTCATTTTCGTTACTGAATTCTCAATGACTTATCACTAGTTTCTAGAAATCAATCACCAAATTTCAGTGAAGTTTCGGTGAATTCTGTGACATGTCTCTGAAAAGCAAAAATAATTTTTCTCTGTGTTTCCTTGACATTATTTTGATCATTAGAATTCAATAAAGCCCTTAAGTTACAGTATTTGATCGAAGAAGGAGTTTTTGGCGATCCTGCTGTTGCTTCATTGGAGAATATTTTATTTCCATTTTCATCAAATGTCATATCACCAATCAACTCCTCCTCATCAGTAAATGAATTCTCCTCACTGCCTAATTCTTCATCATTATCAGGAATTATACGATTTTGGCTCATTTTATCTGCTTCGAAAATCACCTTTTCATTTTTCAGTCATTCCATGTATTCACTATTCGGAGGTTAGATTTCCTTCCTTGTTATTCTCTTTTAATAGGTGATGCGCATGCGCGTCATGCGTTATTTCGGGTTTCAGTTGAGTGTGGGTAGGCGCTTGAAACCCGCTACTTTCCAGTTGACTATAGTCAACTGAAACCCATGCGGTTACACGCACGTATCATATAATAGTATATTTCAGCACGTGTGGGGCAATTTCGTCTTTAACGTGTGTGGGGTTTACAGCATGAGCCGAAGGCGAGTAATGTAACCATACACGTTAAGGACGAAATTTCCCAACAAGTACTGAACAAAAATTTATGTCACGAAGCCTGAAACCGGCTGAATTAGACACGAGACGCGAAGCGTCGAGTGTGTAATCCAGCCGGTTTCAGGCATGTGTGGCATAAATATGTTTTCGGCACTCAGTCCGTGAATCCAAAGAACGTCAATATGTCGAAAAATACTATTTTCCAGGGTATTATTTTGTAGCATATGATTGGGATGATGACCCTGTACCTCCCACAGAGAGCTGATAAAATTTATGAAAAAAAATGAGAAACAATCATAGGCATGCATACACATGAACACATTAAAGTGCGAAATATTATGAGAATAAGTAACGGAATGAATGGAACGAATGGATAAAAAAGGAAGAAGTAGAGTAAAAGGTAGCCAAATAGTCTCAGTCCGCCCCATTCTGCAGTACATGAAATAGTACACTGATAGAAAAGATGGAAGGATTTAATTGTTGTTAACGAGGCTTTCATTACTGTAGATTTTGGGAAACACTCCGAAACTTACGACCAATCGAATTGATAGAAATGAAAGGGAAAGAAATAGCTATTCATCACCACGAGTGACGAACATAATTTTTCTTCACAATGTCCGCAAACGGCGTTTGATGGACATCCGAGTGGAAACTCAAATCAGGCTAGAATAGGAGACTGACCAGTAAAAACTAATTGATGAGTTTTGGATAAGAAATGTAACGTTTGTTTGGATCCATGCCTGGTCAGAATTCTAGAATCCGATCTTTCTGATCAGTACCGGATCCGATACGGATCTAGTCGAGACTTGACTCATCAGAATAGGATTACAATTCACTCCGCCACGTTGGATTCAGATACTCCATTCAGACTCTCACCAGATCCTGATCCAAAAGTCTAATCAAGAAATTCTGACCAGTATTGGACCTAAAACGGATTTAGGCCCAAGCTGACTGAGTGGAATTCCCACTCGGGGAGTGTAATGAAAAAACCCGTAATGAACGATTGCATTTAACCTGCACTGAGAAAAAAATTCACTCCGCTACTCAAATCAGGTTTAGATGAATAAATATCCAAATTATTACGCAAGATCTGCATATAAAGACTTGTCTCATAAAACATTTAGGTGACTGAATCAATTTTCTTCTCAGTACTTCGTTTGTTTATTGTTGCACTTCTTGTTATTATTTTTCTCAACTGGCGATTTCCCTGGTGGCATTCTTATCCATGCCGAGCAGTTCATTACTCAACAATATTGGAAGAATTATCACTTATCATATGCACTGAGAAAAAAGATCATTTTTGTCAAGTATCCATTTGCTGGAAAGAAGTATTTATTTTTTCAATGCTGTATTTTTCCAGTCGAGTTATTCCCAAGCAATCCCCCATTAAGTTTCAATTACGAAAATTATATTGCTTTAGAAGATGATCATGTTAGTTATAATCTCGTGTGAAGTCCCTCAATAATTATCAACATTAAAAAATTAATCGAAATTCTTTCCTTTAAAAAATAAAAAATTTATTAAAAATGAACAATCTTTGGAGGAGTTTATCCAAGCAAAACGATTGTTATAATCAAAACCTAACCAGGCTCGCTTGAGAATGATCCGACTGGAGAAATACAGTATTGAAAAAATAAATTCTCTTAAGTAAATGGATATGTAGCAAAAATAATTGTTTTTCACATCGTGATCGTTAATCTGCAGAAATTGTGATTTTGAGGGACTTACCGCCTTCACTTGACTCTTCAGAAGTAGCGGAAAGACGAAGAAACCGAAGGCAACACCAAATATGAAGAGACAGCTTCCTGCTATCCCTAACTTCAGCCAACGCTGCATCTTCAATCTTTTTCTTCAAGTGTAAATATCCAGAATTGTGCTTGAAACCGGATTAGTAATATGCAAATAATGGGCAACACTTCATTTATTCACCTATCCAATTATATGATCGTTCGATTATCTCGGCGTCGATCTCCGGGTTTAGATTCTTCGCGCGATTGGTAATAGTTGGAATCAGTGAAGATGCGTGGAATGCGTGATGATTTACTATTGCTGGACCGCAGAACATACTGACTCCGACGATCTAACTCCACAGAAACGATATTGCATAATCCCCACCTAGCAGAATGTAATTTTTTTTCAACCAACTCATCCGCAGTTGCGCAGCCTAGGTAGTGAGGAAATTACGTCAAATGATTAACATTGTTCTAACTTTTCACGTGGACTGAAAGATATTTTGAATCCTGGGAAAAAGTGACTGAACATGAACAGTGATTTGTGGACTTCCGCATGGAAAGGGCTCAATTTATCGATAAAGTATACTCTGATATTATTCATAATATTCCGCACATTTTCAACCCAAAGCGACCCTAATCGTCGAAAAAATTATGTGACTACAAGACCAAAGAATCAATATAATATTGATTTGAAATTTAGTTTTTCTCAAAAGACGGAAGTTTATATAGTGTTCCACGTCTTGTGATGTCACAGGATTTTGTTGGATACGATTTTCTTCGGAGTAGGTAGAAGGGGAATCAGGGTAATTCTCGACGTTAGTCGGATACACTGGTTTTCATGGAAGGTTGAGATGAAATTTCATGGACAGTCCAGTGTTATTAGTGACTACCAATTTTCAGGACCGTGACACTGAATGCGATTTACGGGAAAAAAGTCATGTTATTTCAGGTTTGAATTTCCAATCTAATATGAATATTCAGTATCAAATTACATTGAATTTTCAGTGAAATCTGAAATTTCATAATTTTTTCCCCCTAAATCGCATTTAGAGACACTGTCCTGAAAATTCAACAATGTATTTAAAATTTTCTATTCATTTTCAGGGAAAAATGGAACGGAAATTTACAGTTCTGTTTGATTTTTCCACGAAATTCTGAATTTTTAACGATGAGATTTCCTGAAATTCCAGTGAAATTGCAATACGATAAAAATTTCCGAAATTCGGCACGGAAAATTCAGACAGAAATTTTCAACAGTATGGACTCGGTCCCCTGCGATAATACCGATCACATTGAAGAAGATAAAAAAAGAATTCAACATTGATGTGAATGGGGGTTGTTGAGACAAAAACGTGAATCTGTCGGGAACTAGAATCGACAAAGTGGTTCCTTTTCATGCTAAGAATTAAATGACCTATTAAGTGAAAATTTCATAATATTGGGGTTTTTGGGGTTCATACCACCTGCATCCCTGTCGTGAACCATGGATAATACTAAGTGCCGATGAGCATTGATACTAATGCCTTGCCATGGGCTTTTCAACTTAATTTCGAAGACCTCAATTATGGAACAGAAGGGAGGGCTTTTATAAAAGCCTCTAATCCTTACAAGTCGTTACGTAACCCTTGTGTTTGCACGGAGAGAAATGTTCAGCAAAAATTACGGAACTCACAATTCGCTCATCGACTATGAAATCGACTCAGAAAATTTAACTGACGGTATCGTAATTTTTCACAAGAGATCCTATTCTAAAAAGAACAAACACTTATAGTCTATAAGTATCGATATCTCGCAAGTCGTCACGCTTTTTCTTCATTGGTTCCAGTCGTCTGAGGCAGCAAATTTAATTCATGATTGATTTAATTTTGAGATTTTCAATTATGATTCTTACAATTACAGCGCGCGTTCGGTCTCGTTCAGGTAAAAATTACGGAACGCTCTGGAAAAATTCCGTGACAGTTCCATAAAATTTCCTACAACCACATTTGGCTCCTGAATTACGAAAAAGATACGTAATTTTTATTGAATATTTCTCTCCGTGTGACCCGTGGGATTATCGCGCTCGGTTTTCCTGCTAGACAGGAACCCTAATGAGGGTTTGACCCTTGAGATCGGCTAAATTGTCTATCCTATTTAATCCTTATCAAGTCTCGGCGTCCGAAGTTTACCCAATTATTGGTCGAGACCTGGAATTTGACGAATGGCTATTTTGACCATGACATTTGACCGTGAGGGGGTCGCCGAGACTTACCACGCCAATTCAAAGCCGATATTTGGCCGTGAGTGGGTCGCCAAGAGGACATGCCATTCTAGGCCGAGGCTTACCCAATTATATCGCCAATTTCCTCAATTCTGATTTTGACCAATCAGAGTGCAGTATTCGGGGTCACGTGACGCGTTTCACACTGATAATTTCCCCAACTGCAGGGAAATTATCAGTCTGATAATTTCCCTGTAGCCTGTCAATTGTTTTCTACGAATTTGACAGATATTCCTCACATTTTGGTGAGATGTGTCCCGTAACCCCGAACACTGCACCCTGATCGGCCAAAATCAGAATTGAAGAAATTGTCCTCCGAATACCCCTCGACCTTCAAAATTCATCGGATATTTCCCTCAAGTTTTCCTACATATCAACGATCGGGAAATATCCGATAATTTTGAAGGTCTTGGGGTAATTATAGCTGATAATACCCCGTCGTTCGGTCATTTTCCCGTTGCCAAGCAGAATAACAAAAAATTGTCGAATTTACCACGATCACGCCGAATACCACAATTCTATTTATCGAAATGGTTATATATAATATTGATTTTCAGATAATTCGAACAAAAAATCAATAAAATAGTTGATTTTTCAGTGACAAGATTTCCTGAAATGTCAGTGAAAATAAGCCACGATAAAAAATTTCGGGATTTGAGACGGAAAATTCAGACAAATTTTAAGATAAATTGGTATTTATTACCTGAGCAATGAAATTCTTAAAAATTCATGATCTTTAACCCTCTCGGGCATCGAGAACACGAATCGCATCGGCAGAGTCGGAAGTGCATGTGTATAAGCGAGTGTCATAAGAAATGCATAGTATGAAAGTAACTCACGTACGTAACTTGGGAAGTGGGGATGACCATGATATCTGTGAGGATTACAGTAGTTCTTCATTGATATATATTTATTACAAACGTCTCGTTCAATTCATTTACATTACTTGTTTGATGGCAGCCTATACTTAACACATCTGAGTGGACTTCATAAGATAAATTACTTCAATTAAAGTAATTGGTTGCGAATGATTGATTGAGCAATTTAAAAGTTGGGTAAAATCAAAATTGTACAAAGGTGCTGACACAAGAATTCATAAAAATATATAAATAATATGTACAGATGTATCGTCCTAACAGATTTCTTCTTCATCAATATAACTAATCATAAGTTCGAGCAATAATTGATCATTAATTGAAAATTGAGGGGAGACTACTATGAGTTTTAAAAATTGCGGGCTATTGGAGTAAGATTTTTCATGCGTTGAAGATCGATTATATATGTCTAACATCGAATAATTAGTGCAAATAATTTATTGTTTATTGTTTGTTTGCCCCTTAAACGCTTAAATTATTTAAAGTAATCCAGAGCCTCCAATTTTTTAGGTAAAGATTTTTTTTTATTTTGGAAAAAATGTGTGCAATGGCAATTACGAGCTAGTTTTCTAAAATTCGGCTCCTCCGCAGCTTGGAATATATTTTGAATATCTTGAGGATCATTTTTCTGACTATTTTACGTGAATGGTGCAATTTTCGAAATTAAAAAAAAAAAACGAAATTAGCTATGTGAGCGTCGAATTTCAAAAAACTAATAAGTAACTGCTATTGTACACTTTTTTTCAAAAATTTTGAAATAAAAAAACCTCTGTAGCTCAAAAATTGGAGGCCTTGGACTATGTTTAACATTTTAAGCGTGTGCAGGAGAAACGACCGATATACAATTAATTTAATAAACAATTAATTGTACGAATCATGCGTTTATAAATATATATAATCGATCTTTAATGCATGATAAATCTCACTGCAACAGTCAACGACTTTTAAAACTCATAGTAGTCTCCCCTAAATGTGTCGATGTGCAGTGAAGTTTAAATATTCTTAAATACTACTTTTTTTTTATCGTTATTTTACATCGCTTCGACCCGGTCAGGGTATACTGCGATGATGATCAAGACTTTAAATGGTTAGATCGCACTATTTTACCCGGCCGGGATTTGAACTCGGAACTTTTCGCATGTGAGGCAATGAACTTACCTATGCGCCAAACCACCGGGCCTTAAATACTACTAAAAGTCACATTGTCTTCTATTTTTCTTATCAATTAAAAATGTACACAAAATTAAGTTTCTTAATGTAACAATACTTTCGACCAGCAATTCAATTCAGCGGTGAAGTGGTCGAACGTAATAGACAATTTTTTTTCATATCCCATTGACTATAGACTTCCTAAATGAGCAATTTTAAAATAAAACTATTTGGAGAGATAACGACCAGACAATCTTTCGGTCTCAATCGCGTTGAAATTTTTTTTCGCAATATTCTTTACATTTGTCTGTGAAATAACTCGTTTCCTAAATTAACGCACAGTTCATAAGAAATTCGAACATGAACTATTACTTTTCACCACTTCACCAGCTTTTCCATTGGTCTCTATTAATTAACCGTCTAAAGCTGGAACACTTTGCGCTTGCACTGTGTTGATGTTTAAAGGCCACCTTTTCTCCCCGCTGTCTGGCGCGGTCGCATTCGCAGTGGCTTTAGGAGAAATCTTCGTGATACTGAGCTTCTGGGAGGCCTGCATATCTCTGTACTTTAGGAAACCAGAGGTGCCAGCTAATCCAATACCTCCGAACATCATCAGATACTTCATGACGCTGAAAATATCAGTGAGAAAATCATAGATTGATTTCACTATTTTTCCAATACAAATTTCAGCGAATATAATTAATATTATTGTATACGATTCGACGTTACACGGGAGAACTAAGAATTTCTCCCATCCAAATTGCAGCCAATGAGATCATTCGAATATTACGACACACGATTAGAGAGGGTGGGGGAGCTGTAGTTTGTGACACTTTGCGATGAAGGGGAGAGGGGCTTGCCCAGTTTTTATGTCACACAATTTTTTCCCATTTTTAATCTAGAAAATCGTAAATGCACTTTTATTAACTAGTTCTTCCAAGAAAATATTCCAAAGATTCAAAGATGAAGAGAGTTTCAGAGTCCTGTGATGTCAACAATTTAACACGTTACGAAATGTTCAAAGAGCATCGCATGAACATTCAATTGCTCCACAAATCCTTTGTTTTCTTTTCCTTATTTTTGTTTTTGACATCCTATTTTATTCTTTCCTCATTTATTATTTCTTCTTGCAGTGTGGGAAGACTCAAAAATGTCAAAGCATGGTTTTTGCTTCCGAATGGAAGCATTGTAATCGTTCGAATTTATGTTTTGGATTTTTTGTGTTATATCGACGCATTATGACCCAAAAAGTCCGAAAATGCATTTTTTAGACCGTATCCGTCTGTACGTGTGTATGTGGCAAAGTTTTTCGTCGATTTCTCGCTAATAAATCAATGGAAATGAATCTTTTTTTTTTTTCTTAAATAAAGATATTGTTAAGCCCTAACCATCGCTGTTAATTAAAATTTTATTCATTGATTCATTTTTTTAATTTTCGAATTTGTTCAAAATTCAGCTGTAATACGATAACTAAAAAAAATGTTCTAAATTCATTGAATGACGGCTTAAAAAATTCGTTGGGATGTCCTTTTGACCGAGTTTGAATAAGACGAAAGCGATAGCAATAATGGTTATTTTAATTTCTGTGAAATTTTTCAAATATTTCGGATTTTTCGAAAGGCAGAATTCCGCAGATATCTCGGGATATTGCGCTTCAAATGAATTCAATCATAGCTTAATATGTTTGTTTCCATGTGACTATGACGAAGTTAAAAGATGATAACAATAACTGTCTCGATTAATTTGATTTTTAGGATAATTTTTGCAAATTTCGAATTTTTCATGAATTCCCTTGAACGTTAGCTTTCTAATGGTTCCTCTAAATGTCATGTTTCGAATGCTTTCAATTATGTATAAATGAAATATTCCTAATAATATCTCATCGAAATTTTCAGAAATTTGCAAAATGTCATCATGTAGAAAATCTAAAACAAGTAGTTGAGGAGAAATTAATTCAATTCAAGAAATAAAATAGGCTATGAATAGTATACAATGGAAAAAAAATAAGCAAAATGACCATTCGGAAACATAACGGTACCCCTTGCACGTGTTATTAATTTTTTGGAACTAAAAAAATTTCAATCACTCAATTACTATATTGTGCAGTGCCTGAAGTTTTTTGGTTTCCAAAAATTAATAACTATGGACACGAGGACGATTCTAAAATTCAACAGATGCAAGAGGTATCGCTTCCTCTTAATACCCAGATGAACCCTCCACCGCTTTCATACCGATACTGAACTATAAAACTTGACTAATTGATTTGTTTGCAACGAACCTATCGGGAAATACCCGATAATTTTGATGCTTCTATGGTATACGTTCGATAGCTCAAGCGAGAAAAAAAGAGCAGTCCTGCCGCCGTTCTAAACTGCCATCCAAGCCGGAAACGAGGATGGCAAGCATGCAGGCTTAATTGGAATGTTTTCTCGTTCGCGGTATGAACTGGTTTTTTCTTCAGGGTTTTATGGAAAATACGATTTTCCTTTCAGTGGCTCAACATACCAACGAAATGTCTCAACATGACTCACTTTAAATCGCTGTAAAAGTATTTTCCAACAAAATCGATTTGTTTCTTTCTTCCTTCGCTTTGGAATAGAAGCATTTGCGATTTTGCATTAACCTAACAAATTTCGGGCTTAGGAGTCAGAATATGTTTTTAGATTACGTCCGGATCGCTACATCCTCACGTCCACACACTCACGCGTTGACCACACGGAGAGAAATGATCAGTAAAAATTACAAAACTCACATTCACTCACCGATTACGGAATCGACTCAGAAAATTTAAGTGACGGTATTGTAATTTTTCACAGGAGATTCAGATTAAAAATACGGAACACTGCGGAAAAATTCCGTGACAGTTCCGTGAAATTTCCTACAACCCCATTTCGCTCCGGAATTCCGGAGAAGATACGTAATTTTTATTGAATATTTCTCTTCGTGCACGGTCACCGAGGAAAAGATGATTGATGGTAAACGAAACCCATGCGGGTTCTCTCTCGCACCTATTGTGTCACGCATATATTTCGGATTTATTCCATTTACGGAATTCAACTGCTCTGCGAATTGAGATAAACATCACTTTAGACAGTCAGTCACGGACCGCTTACCGGATCACACCTATCCATTACTTTTCTATATATTCTTTAACGTGGTTTAATTATATTATGATTAATTAACGTCATTGCAAAGTCTCCACTTGAAACTTTCAGAATTCAACATAAAAACAAATTTCAAGTTGAGTTGCGCAATTTTAAGGATACATTACACCCTTTCGGATAAAATTCGCGTTTTTTTTTCATTTTTTTGACAAATTATTGATCGGATGGAGACGAAATAATATACCGTTTTTGCGTTTTATCATTATTGACTATTCTCGAAGTTTCATGATAGTGCAATCATTTTCCTGCATTTTTTCTAAAGTTTTGTCAATTTCCGAAAAGTTTTCTAAAAAACGCAGGAAAATGATTGCATGATCATGAAATTTCGTGAGTCATTAAGTAATGATAAAACGCAAAAACGGTATATTTTTTCACGTCAATCCGATCAATAATTTACCAGAAAAATTAAAACGTGAATTTTGGCGAAAAGGGTGTAATACATTCTTAAACTTGAGGCATTCAAAAGTCTCAACTTCAAATGAAGACCTTCGAAAGTTTTAAATTAAGACCTTCCAATGTCTCGACTTGAGCCCTTCAGACTTTAAATTAAGACTTGTAAATCTTATTTTGAACCCTTTGAAATCTGAGAATAAGACATAATTTTTTTGGGTGGAAGTAAACTTTTCAGGCAGGTATCACAAAAATAACTGTTTATCTAGCATGTGACTATAAAGCCTGTGATTATTCGTGAAATCTTACCAAATCGATCAGATGAATAAATACATTACTATGACCGTGAAAAGGAACTAGAATTGAAGTCCAAACGTCGGCCTTGATGTAAAAGTAAGGAAAATACACTGACTAGTGAACCAAAAAACATTGAAATATTTGATTAGAATGAAAAACATTTTCTTAAAAAAATTTCAGTCTTCAGAATTTCCTCACCTTTCTAATGAGACCACTTTGGTTTTTGAATTATAAGTGTCATTGGATGAAAGAACTTACCCAACGACTTTGATCATTGTGAAAACCACCTTGAGCTGCTTCACGAATTCATCCCCCAGCAGAAGACCCTCCTCCACCCAGAATAACGGAAGAAGGGCCTCTGGGAAAGTTTTCATCAATTTGAACTTTTCGATTGGAAAAATAAACATATTAAATTGTAATCGCTTCCTTGCTTCTACGGGGGTGGCCGTCATTGGTTCGAAATTTATGAAGATTTGATGCTCCTCCTGAAATAAATGAAGATAAATAAAATACTATCGTTGAATTCAAGAATGAGTCAATGTTCACTCGTAAATGTAAGATTTCAAAGAATTTCTGGCGAAATGTCTTTCGTAACGCCTCACAATACCAGCGAGATGAATGAAATCATCATCTCTTTCCCATTCAAAAACATTTTTCTTGAATTCAGTAGCAAAGCGGTAAACCGGGTCAAGTCGATTTTGACTATTGATCGGTTTTTGACGAATATCTCGGAATCTAAAAGAGATGGACACATTTTTGTTATGACCTTTTTTGTAAAGCCAACTGCGGGTTATAAAAAAGTTCATGAGATAAATTTTGCTATCTCTCTTAGATTCTGAGATATGCATCAAAAACTGGCCAGAATTCAAAATCGACTTCACCCGGTTTACCGCTTGGCTATTGAATTGATGAAAATTAATGGGAGATGGACATCTCATGAATCTTCCTCTGCAATAAAATTTTCCGGCAATAATTTTATATAATTATTAATATGAACCTGGTTTGGATGAAGACCATCGACCTGAGTCAAATAAAACGGATCAACGAGGTAGAAATGTGGGAGACTTGCAACCATAGGTGCACCGAGGCAGGTGAAGAGATCAATTAAACCCTTCTTCAGACATTTATCGGGAGCTGTACATAAACACTTCAGGTTTTCGTCTGTATTCATGTCGCCAAAATCTGCATTGTAGTGATTCGTTTTAAGACCTGTAATAATGGTCATTATGATCAACATTTGGTAATAATTTTGTGGGAACGCGATCGACATTTTTGACTTCCCGACCCAAAGGAAAGAAGTTATTGTACAGAAACTTATAAGCGAAATATAAGCGGAAATTAAATTTTTGATATTCATCGATCTTCAAAATCATTTTGCAATATTTTTTAAGGCATGTTTGCGTATGTGGCTATGTGTATATATACGCGAATGTAACTTTGTCTAATTGTTTCTCTTCCACCAATGGAGAGATTTTGTTTTCTTCATGCAATCGATGTATTTTCATGTAACTTGGGACTGATTTTTTTGAGAATACGATCGTCTCAGGGGTTGTTCAATTACTTACAAAAACACGCAAAAAACAAAAAATATGATTGTTTGAAATTTCACTTGACATAATTTTTTGCAATAATAGGGTTTTAATGTAACTCGTTCTTCTGAATCGATGTTGACAAAGTTGTCTCGGCGGTCACGAAGAAGAAGAAATTTTTAATTTGAGGAAAATATCACTGCTTGACAGGGATTCATCTCTCATTTTCAGAAATCTACCCACAATTTCTACGGATTTGCGATTGTGAAATTCAATGAATGCGAAATTCTGAAATGCAGCGATTTTGTGACATGGTCACTAATTTTCAGAGAAATGTCACTGATTGACCTAATTTCTATCTCTAATTGTAGCAATCGATCGACCGAAGAGTTACTCTAGTCAGGGTCCAATATCACAAAACGTTGTACAAAAAAATCGAACTCTATCGACTTTTTCTATAAAATATTTTCTATTCAACATTTCAATAGAATCGACCAAAAACTAATAGAAACTTCAATAGAAATCCCAAGGGACTGATCACTGTGATTTCTTGAATGATTTCTGTGATTTCTCTATAAGAATTAACCATGAATTCTTTTGATTTTTTGTGAATTCTATGATTTCTAGTAGAGTCTGACGACTTCTCACGTATGAAAAAATCCTATAGGATTTCCTATAAAATTTCCTATAGGATATCCTATAGGATTTACATAAAATGTTACAAAAAAAATGAACACATGATAAATGTTAAAATGTTTTGATGTTTTGATGTTTTATGTTTTATGTTTACTTTTACATACATGGAGAGAAGTATTCAATAAAGATTACGTATCTTTTCCGTAATTCCGGAGCGAAACGTTTTTGTAGGAAATTTTACGGAACTGCCACGGAATTTTTCCGGAGCGTTCCGTAATTTTCAACTGAATCTCCTGTGAAAAATTACGATACCGTCAATTAATTTTTCGAATTCGATTTCGTAGTCGGTGAGCGAACTGTGAGTTCCGTAATTTTCACTGAATATTTCTCTCCCTGCAGTGATTTCCTAAGTGACCAGCCCCTCGAGAAATCCAATAAAATTGCCTGGCGCATTCGCTATTATGAAATTAATTTCTACATATTACCCTGTATTTTGTACATGTAACAACAACAATTATTAACGGACTCAGACCTTTAACTTTGGAAGGTTTCACGTAGTACGCTGGTAGACTGAGACACATATCTGGAGAAAACGAGACGATATCCTCATCTTGGAAAAGAAGTGGATGAAAAATGGTAGAATCTGTTCCAGGAAGTGCATTGCAAGGTCCATCATCCGCCCAAACCTTCTGCCTTTCCTCCCCTTTGTATGACACCATCTCACCCGTTTGTCGGTAATTTTTAATACCCCGCCTGACTTTGAATCTATCTGGTACCACTGTCCCATTTTTCTGTAAATTGAAAACACCTCGTCATTGCTCGTCTCACGATGAAAATAATTATTTCCCTGTTTTAATACATCCTGCTAGTGTTCTTCACGACTTTTTGTTAAACCTCATGTTATGCAATATCATGATAGAGGTGCTATTACTTAGTAGATAATTATTTTCATCGAAGGAAAAATTTCCACTTCATATCATTCAATTAATTCTGATAATGCACACTCATTCCCCCCGCCACCAAATATTTGATAACAACAAGTAATTTCAACAGACATTTCCAATTTTCTCCCGTGGAAAAATAGTTAAAAAAATAAAAATACTTTCCTACCGAATTCGTAAAATATTTCGAACCCAGAATCTAAGATTTTTCGAATTTTCAGTCGACGCATAATTTAATGGAGTGCAAAATATATGTTCGTTATACATTTCCACATCCTTTGCAACCTTTTCGATAGCAGAAAAATATCTTTATTAGTTATTATTGGTTATTTTATTAGCCTCCGCGTTTGCGGGTAATTCCGCCCACGGTTTCTATAGGGCTGCTAGACTCTGCAGCTAGAGAGCGATCAAGTGACAGCACGATTGTTTGGAGTAGTCGGTAGCCACTGAAACATCGGGTAAATGCAGGATAATTTATTATTATTCGCGTGAAATCATTCTCAAAATGAAGCCACGAATGGAAATGAAAGATCAAAATAGGAAAAATTATAACAGTTGGTCTGCATTGCTCAAAAAAGTCATCAAAACCAGGTAGGCGGTATGGACGCATGCCAGGCGGTATTACCCTCAAAGTTCGATTCCATCGCTCCCTGGCCGCTGGCCATTGAATTACATAATTAAATATGTTTAATGTTAATAAAAAATCTGTCCTCTTCACATCTTTGAGTAAACGCCTCGAAGAACCCATTCTAACCGTTGATGGCTGCTTGTAGAGAGCATGCCACGTATGAAAAACTCGTATAGAAATTCTATAGGATTCCGTATATGATATTCGGATATTTCTATACGAATATTTTCTATACGAATTATTTCTATACATAAATTTTTACATAATTTTTTGTTTCCATAAGATTGATGTTCAAAAGTTCTAGAGAAAAACGCAGAGAAATGTCGTAACTCCGTACGAAATGTTTCTATACATGTGGCAGTGGGATCAAACCTATTGGGAACTGGTGGTGAGAAATAGTATTTTTTCGGCCTGTTGCGATGGGGTTTTTTACTCGTGTGGCGTTGGCCTCCGAGCCGTAGGCGAGAACTGGCCAACCACACGAGTAAAAAAACCCCATCGCAACAGCCCAGGAACAATATTTTTCTGTAGTGATTTTCAAGTTTTCGAGTTTGGGAAGTATGTAATACCAATTCCCAGACGAGAAATCGTGAGAAGCAGTACAGAAAAAGAATCATTTTAAGATAACAAACCTCTCTGCTCAATGGGACTGTAATGAAAACTCAGCCGTATTCAAAAATCAATAACTCGAGATTGGCAGAGTGAAATTCAACAAATTATAAATCATTCTCAGATTATTTTTTTAAGCTTCGAAATCAGATCAATTCCATTCAAGTCGTATCAAAATGAAACTCATCCCATAAACTTATATGTAAAGTGCTATCTCAAGACCGTAAGATCCGCCCATCCACCAGTTCCCAATAGAAATCATATAGAAATAATTAGTATAAAAATTACCGTATTGGATGGGTTAAAAACGAAAATCCTTTGATTGATAAAAGACAAAAGGGAGTAAATTTATTGACTTACAGCACCCAAAAGAGCGAATCTGTATTTTCCAGGACCTTCTACTATAAACGCCGCTTCGTTCTCAGCAAGCAGTGAACAAACTGCTTTTCCCTGGAAGTCTTGAACTGTGCAATCGACTGGCAAGCCCGTCCAGAGAATTTCTCTCACTGTTGCTTTAACAAATACTGAATCTGGCTTCTTGAAAATACTGTCCACAGCCTTAGCTGAAATTGTAACAGTTATTTTTGACTCCTGAATTCATCGCTGAATGAATTGCCCAGAAAAAAAAATTCTGGCTTCTGAGAACTAGAAATTTTTTTTTCTCTGTGTCATCTTCAGTAAAAGTGTGAATAACGTTACCGGCAAGGCCCATCATCCCCGGCTTCTCTCTCACGACCGTCAAGATCAAGGTGAGGATCATAACGTGAGGAAATGTCAGGACAGTATCCTCAGAGAGTCCTACTCCACTCTTCTCAGGAGCAAACATCCACGTCGCTTTGTTACTGTATTCACATGTGTCTTCCTCGTTATTGTCGACAAGGTCGACCTTCTCCTTGTACTCACTTCATCAGAGGAATCAATATTAATTACTTAGTGGACATTTTATATTGCAGTTTCATTAATCGCAGGAAATTAAAGTGGAAACGATCGGAGTTGATGCCTTCACTTGGTAATTACGTCATTTTCAAGGTAATGAATCATTTTTGGAGGAAATGTCAAGGCACTTTTTTGTAGGCAAGATAATTAACTACTCATTTGAGCACTTTTTATCGAGATCATCAGACAATTCTAATGCATCTAGTCAAATAGTTTTACTTTCTATTGATCGAGTTATTATAGAAGATCCATATATCTACGGAATGAGTGGTTTAAAGGGGAAATGTCGAGACAACGTTTTCATAGCACAGGGAATCTCTCTCGGAAGGTAGACGGAAAAAATAGACCAGGAAAAAATAGCCTACACACACCCAAAACGTGCTAAACCCACCCTATTTAAAAATTTCCCTTGGGCTATTTTTATTTCCCTTGGTATATTTTCCCCATGGTTTATTTTTTACGGGATTCCTCACGGAATAAGTCTCCACCACCTTTCCTTTCAAATAACTCATGTCCTGAATAACAAATATAAATAAAATAAAACTAGGTAATGTAAAATTCAAGAGAATATTTTGGAACAGTCCCTAGGAAGTTCTGCTGAAATTTTATTGGAAACTCCGGAGGTTTTCCGCCCGCTTTTCCAAGTAGAAATATTGAATGGAAAAATATGTGACTGGAAAAAACCAACAGATTTCGATTTTTCTATGTTATTTCTTCTGTTGAAGAATTCTCTTGAGAAATTTATTTACGGATATTTTTGGAGAAAGCTCCAAAGAGAACCTATCAAATTTCCGCGAATGGGTTCTGTAAAAAATCTAAATTGACTCATTTCGGTTTCTAAAATATTTTCGATTAGATAGTTCTATTTGAAAAAATGCACAGACGGACTATCCAATTTTCAAGTATGGAGAGAAAAATCTGTTGAAAATTCCCGGATTTTGCACAAAATATTATGTACTAATTGTAGAGGAAACATTGAATTCGATTTAGTGACGAAAAATTACAAAGTTTCGGGTTTCACCGAAATGCAATAGAATTCCTCAGCTTACTTGAATTTTTAATGAAAATATGAATATTCAGTACCAAATTAGGATTAATTTAACTGAAAAATTGATTCATTCTCACTTCATTGAAAAATGACAAATATATTGACCTGAATTTACTGGCTTTTTATTAATTTAATAGAATAATTGAACCAAAAATTGAAGTCTCCATTGATTTTTTACATCAAATTGTGGATTGGTAATGACAATCGATTATTTCGATACAAATGCGTAATTAGTAGTGGAGGGTAGGGTAAAACGGACCGGGAGGGCAAAACGGACCACTGACAGAAAATTGGTAATTTTTGTTTTTTCTTCTTTCCGTCAAATCAGGAACACTGAATGTGTTGAATTAGAAGTGAGTTTCTTGGATCGTAACCGTCACAGAGGTTTTATAGACAACAAGTGTCGTTAAACCGCAATTTGATCAGATTTGCTAATCACCTCAAACCACAAATGACTTCGAATTTCCTCCATTCGGAAGCAAAAACAAAAATTATCAATTTTCTGTTAGTGGTCCGTTTTGCCCTAGGGGTCCGTTTTGCCTGGCTGGTCCGTTTTGCCCTCCCCTCTACTCTGCTGTGTTACTAGTGCGTAAAGTGACCTTTACGGACTCTTGTGAACTTGACGCAGACTGTGCCGTAAAAAACCGCTTTACGCACACTAAATCGTTTCGAAAATACACTTTATGCCACTCATGCCTGAAACCGGCTGGATTACACACTCGACGCTTCGCGTCTCGTGTCTAATTCAGCCGGTTTCAGGCTTCGTGACATAAAATTTTGTTCAGTACTTGTTGGGAAATTTCGTCCTTAACGTGTGTGGTTACATCACTCGCCTTCGGCTCATGCTGTAAACCCCACACACGTTAAAGACGAAATTACCCCACACGTGCTGAAATATACTATTTTAGGCAGGTATCACAAAAAAGTGGTTTTCATCACAACGTGTAGAAAGTGGGGTTTTGTGCACACGGAGCGTGCGGAAAATTTCACGTCTCGCACACGTGATAAAAAATTCCTTGAAATTCCACCGGAACTGTCGCTTGATGAAAACTCTTAAGAAGTATAGCAGACATTTCAGCAATCAATATTCAAAACTATATTTCTATGTATTTCCATTCTCCATAACTTACTCGTAGAAGAATGGACCCACTTCATTGACTATTGGCTTGGCTCCCGCCTTAATCTCATCAGGATTGGTGATATTGAAGAGGAAAACTCTGAAGTCAAGAGCAAAAGGCACTACCTCCCACATGTCCCGTATATCACCTCCTGGTTTTAACGTAACTTGCTAGCAATAAAAAAACAAAATAACGAAATATAGTTCCGATAATTCATACTATAAACAACCTCAAAAATGTACATTAAACGCGCTAAAAATCCGCAATTGTTTTGTTCTAATGCACTCGGAGTGATGAATTAGAACAAGTGATTCAAAAATTTAATAAGTAAATAAATATATGGATGAGTGAAAAATACACAATGAATGCAAAGTGAAACATGAAGTAGGCAAACAATGAAATATTGTGTTATTCTTGTGGCGACCGTGATCAAGTACGGACGGAGTATTTTTTCAATAAATTCACTTTTATGTGAGACATTCCACACTAAAATGAGTAAACTGTGAAAATTTCAGACCTTTCGCTATGGAAGTAACAGAGAAACATCTATAGGCGCGTTTTTCTCATTTTTTAGTTTTTACAGTTTTCATGTGACCGTATTAAAAAAATATAGCTACTTAAAAAAAAATATTTTCGAACTTTTAAATTCGAATTTTCACTATAAATAATGAGTTTTAGTGTTGATTTTGTTTTTCCTGTGATTAAACCCACAGTGGCCGCTGTTTTTACACATGGATTTTATGTGAAATTGTCTCAGCTTTTCGAATAAAAAACAATAGAAAAATTTTTAGAAAAGGTTGTCATTTTTCACTTTTCACCATTAAAACTTATTATTCATAGTACAAATTCTAATTTAAAATTTTGAAAAAATATTTTTTTTTTCAATTCATCACATTTCCGATGGAAAATGGTATTAGCTACAGTCATTTTTTTAATTCAGTCACATGAAAACTGTAAAAACGAAACAATGAGAAAAATGCAAAAATCAGTGTTTCTCTGTTATTTACGTAGCAAAAGGTCTGAAATTTTCGCAGTTTTCTCATTTTACTGTGCTTAACAAAATATAAACGAAAATTCGACCGACTGTAATGGTTAGGTGGGTGAGGTGTTGCACCGGCGGACATCCAAGCTAAGCAGCGTTGAGATGAGTTAGTACTTGGATGGGTAACCGCTTAGGAACACCTCGCTCGCACAAAAATTGCGGGCGGTAGGTACGGTGTAGCGGCCTAGTGTCTCCATCTAGTCAGTGTGACAGATGGATATATTAGGGCACTGCACAAATCGGCCGACTGTGCGACAGGGGTTTTACATGGTTTCCCGTGCAGTCCTAGCTCGAATGGGGCACAGCTAAGAGTAAGACGGCCATGATACCGCAGATAACAATGAGAGGAAAAAAGAAAGGAGGGGAGGCAGGCTAGAGGAGGGGTTTCAAATCGAGAATTACTTCGATAAAACCAATGAAATAGAAAAAAATATAAAAAAAATAAACGAAAATTCAAAATCGCAATTTGGAGGCTCAAAGCCTATGACAGTTTTTGTGAAATATCTCTATCCTGTTCAACTTGTTCTATTATTATAAGGATAATTTGTGATCTTGTAGATGAGCTTGGGACGCCACTGTTTTCCTCTAATTATGAACTACTTATGTTACTACTGGTCTATCCCTCTCCTGCTAAAGGGCTACACTGAGAAAAAAAAATTGTTTTTGCCAAATATCCATCTACTTGAGAGAACTATTCATTTTTCCAATACCGCACTTCTCCACCCGAGTCATTTCCAGGCAATTCTCATTAGGTTTCAATTATCACAAGTATATTGCTCTGGAAAATGATCATGTTAGTTACGACCTTGAGTGAACTTCCTCAATGATCATAAACATTGAAAAATTAATCGAAATTATTCCTGTAGAAAATAAGAAATTTTGGAAAACTGAATAATAATTGGAGGAGTCTATCCAAGGTCATGTGCAGTATAGTCATTCTCTAGAGCAACATGATTGTCATAATTAAAACCTAATCAGGCGCGCCTGGGAATGAGTCGATTGGAGAAATACGATTTTGAAAAAATAAATCCTTCTCTCAAGTAAATGAATGTTTAGGAAAAATAATTTTTTTTCTCAGTGTAGGGCATGTTCTCCTATAATTGCCCTATAGGGCAATTATGAATAGTAAATAATAATTAAATAATTCATAATCACGACACCCCGGTGGCTTGGCGCAGTGGGTAAGTTCGTTGCCTCACATGCGAAAGGTTCCGAGTTCAAATCCCGACCGGGTAGAATGGTGCGATCTAATAACTATTTAAAGTCTTGATCATCACCGTAGTATACCCTAACCGGGTCGAAACGATGTAAAATAACTGTAAAAAAAATAATAATCACGACACAAACTCCAATTACGTCCATCAACAAATTCGGAAATTCAAATGCCTAGAGTAATTAGAAATAACTAAAATAATTGAAATTTTGAAGATTCAAAATTTTTGATGATTCCAAAAATCCTCTTTTTATTTCATGTGAACGAATTCTCTCAGTATTGATGACCCCTGTGTTCCCAAACGTCATAAGAAATTATTATCGATCAATAGACACTTTACGGTAAACTATTCACACCGACATTGAGTCTAACACTTTGCATAAGAAATTGAGCTTCAAAAACTTTCATTCTTTCCAATGATCGTCCTGTCAGATGCACTCTACCATTCCCATCAAAATCCTTCGATGAAGAATTCCGACGCAATTCATTCCTAGGTGAGACATAAACCTCAACCAGGGTCAGCGGGTGCAATAAAAAACGCGCGATTAAAACCTGTATTAACGGCATTGAAACGTGTTGATTCAATGTCCAGACTGTGAAAAAGTGACCAGCTATTTGATGACATAAACAATCGTAGTATTTAGCCGCGAAAAAATTAAATGAATATGGACTTCCTGAGCGGATCGAAACCCTAGAGCAAACGCGAACTCATTCCATTGAGACTGTGATATAAAATCGAATGATTCCCGGGTCTAGACACGTCACGGTTGGACTCGTTATTAAGTCCTTGATAATTAACTTCTCTTGCTGATTAAATAAAAAACTCAACACTCCGCTTTAAATTGCGAATGGAAAAATTTATACATCTCAAAATTTATGAGTTGAAAAATTTCATATGGATTATCTTGAAAATGCGGAGATATATTTTTGGGAGACTTTTTACGTAATTTTACAAATTTACACATTTGACAAATTTGACAAGAAAAAATTAATTGATCATTAGTTTTGCCGTCTCCATGCCTAGATATTTGAATTAATTCTATTTATTTAAGATTGATTTTACTTGAGGGGAATGACGCTTTACGGGCAGTGTGATGAAAAGAACCTTTTGGAACGCGAGATACTCGATATCCACGAATGAAATCCACAACCCAGAATGAAAGTGAAAAACTCTTCGTCAAAGAAAACTCGTTCCATGGGCCATTCTGTGGTCATATCCAGCAATAACTAACACAATTCAGTAGCGAAGTGGTAAAACGGTACAAGTCAATTTTGACTATTGACCAGTTTTCAAAGAATATCTCGGAATCTAAGGGCGATAGCAAAATTTCTGTTATAACCTTTTTGGTAGAGCCGATTGAGAGCTACAACAAGTGTAATTACAAAAATTTCGCTATCTCCGTTAGATTCGGAAATATTCCTCAAAAGCTCAACTGGGAGATAAGTCGACATAAGCCGTTTTATCACTTCGCTACTGAATTAATCCAATACTAGCAGACAATATTTCGAGTGCGGAAAGCACTCCTATTCTGGACCAGATTTATTTATCTATAATAGTCAATAAAATACAATATCAAAAATAAATATTACGAAACGGAGTAAATATTGCAACACAATAAAAATTTAAAACTTGAAAAAAAAAATTTTTTAATGTAAAATTTAAAAATTTACACTCTTCGTGTATTTCAAATTTTATAAGTTCAAAAAATTTGGATGAATCATCATGAAAATACTACTGAAATCATTACATCTATCGGGAAATATTCAGTAGTTATACTCCAAGAGCTTCAAAATTATCGGGTATTTTCCGATAGCTTCGTTGTAAACAAATGAGGGTGTCAAGTTTTGGAGGTTAAAAAATAACGGTTAAAAATTGCCCATTTCTTTGCAAAACTTGGCACGATCGTTTGTTTTCAGGGAAGCTTGAGGGAAAAAACCGATTAATTTTGAAGCTCAAGGGGTATTTGTCGGATTATTTTTCTCAATCAGATTTTGGCTAATCAGAATGCAGTGGAGAACATTAGAAGGTAAATTGCCAAAAATTTGAACGAATTATGCTAATTGAATAACCCGATTTCCGTAGACTATCAAATACAAGATTCGATCTGAACTGGGTCGAAAAATCTTTTTGTCACGTCTAACTATCATGAACATTGAACTACATGTACACAACTCCTGATAGAGATAATTTGATACTGTACAAAAGAAGTGTATTCTAGGCTGAAGGCCCTCGGGCAATGGCCATTTGTAAAAATGTATGTTTCTTGCAATAAATAACGTTAAACGTTAAAGTGGATCGAAAAAATGGAGAGCTACGCCAAGATATTCAAAAGCTAGAAGGAAATATCCGAAATAAAACTATCGGGTAGCCTCAAATACTGCGCTCTGATTGATCGAAATCCGATTGGGAAAAATAATCAAGAACATCTTTTGGAAATTATGCAATCTTCAGTCTTTATAAAAAAAAATCTTCAGTTCATGCTTTCACCTTAAGATATTTACAACAAAATTTTCCAAAATATTCCTTCAAGGCCATCTCATCCGTTCCATTCTTCATCAATTGAATTCTGAAATCACTCATATTTTTCGAAACAAGGTGTAGTTCTCAACAATTGTTCTTAATAGAGGCATCTGATTTTGAAAATGCCAAATTAATCTATAACTACTAGAAAAAAAGTATCATAAAACATGTATTAAAATCATACAAACTCAGAATAGAAAACCAAAAAGAGGATGGCCATAAGTATGAAAAGAAGATGAGAAAACCCAAAGAGAAAATTCCAAGCATTGTAAAATTGAACGACAATGTAAATAAATCAGTAACAAAATTGAGCACTTTGAAGAATAAAAAGAAAGAAAATGAATCAGGATATAACAATCCCTCATGTACTAAAAAAACATAACATCTAATATTTTTGTTTTATGAAAAAATTAATGGCTGACCCCGATGCATGAATTGGAGGTCACATTCTAGAGATGAGACACCATTTAATGACACTGAAATCACCGCTTCGTTTTTTTCCCTTCCATAAGTAGAATTTTTAAAAATCCCCTGTCTTCGAGAAATTGTTTTTGTCATTTTCACTAGCTGTCAAGTTTTGTATCCATCGCGATAACTTGATGACTCAACCGCAATAAAAAAAATTATGACCGTTAATCTGACGGTTGAAATGAAGAAATTTTATTTTATGATTTCATTCTATCCAGGACATGAAAATGCATTATTAGTTATAATGCAATTATTTTTATATGAAGTTGAGTTCAGTCATGTGGGAGCTCACCTTCTTCAGTTGACTCCTCAAAAACGGTGGGAAAATAGCGAACCCGAAGAGAGTACCGAACATGAACAGACACCCCCCCGCAATGCCCAACTTCAGCCAAAGTTGCATTTTTAATTACTCAACTTAGACTATTAAGAATTATTTTAAAAAATTAATTAAAAAAATCAGAAGCTCTACTCCATTTATTCATCTATTTGTTTCAATTATTGTTTAATAATCTTGACGTTTATCTCCGGAGGCAGATGATCCGAGTAGTAGTAAATGCTTGAAATCAGTGAACAACAATGGAGTGAGTGATAATTTACGATTGCTGGGCCGTGAGAACGCACTGATTTCATGAATTTAATTCCACAGAAGCGATATTGTCTATTCCCCACCTAGTAGACACATGTAATTTGGTTTTCGACCAACTCATCCGCAGTTGCGCAGTCCAACTAGCGAAAAAATTACGTTAAGTGAGCAGAATTCTTGCCTTACCTATTCACTCTGGATTTTAGTCTCAGGGGGAGGTGGGGAAAAGTGGAACATTCGTCATCGATTCAAAATCCCAACATCTCTGTTGATAGGGTAAACAGGTCAATTTCTGGACGGGGGTTAGGTTTGGACGATTTCTATTTCCATTGAATATCTCTCTATATTATAAAAATCCAAATCGACTTCTGATGATGAAAATTTGTTACTCGGAATTAAGACTACAAAATTAACAGTCGCAAGAGTCAAAATAAGGATGACGGGGGTCAAAATAATGGTCATGAGGGTCAGAATAAGGGCCACAAGGGTCATATGAGTCAGATCTTAATCTGACTCATAAGGGTCATGAGGAGTGTAATGAGGGTCACGACGGTCCAGTTGAGGGTCACAAGAGTCAGATTGAGGATCACGAGGGGTATAATGAGGGTCACGAAGGTCCAGTTGAGGGTCACAAGAGTCAAATTAAGGGTCATAAGGGTCAGATTACGGGTCATGTGAGTCAGATTAAAGGTCACGAGGGGTATAATGAGGGTCACGAGGGTTCAGTTAAGGGTCAGACTAAGGGTCATAGGGGTCAGATTAAGGGTCAGGAGGGGTATAATGAGTCACAAGGGTCATATTAAAGGTCACATGGGTCAGATTAAGGGTCAGATCACGAGTCAGATGAGTGAGATTAAGGGTCACGAGGGGTATAATGAGCGTCGCAAGGATCAGATTAAGGGTCACAGGGGTCAGATTAAAGATCATAAGGGTCATATGAGTCAGATTAAAAGTCACGAGGGTCCAATTAAGGGTCACAAGGGCCATAATAAGGATTATGGGGGTCATATGTGGGTCAGATGGGGGTTGGCGAGCGGAGCGAACAGGGGGCGCAGCCCCCTAGTTCCATAAATAATAAGATGAAAATTGTACTGATTATGTCATTCTTCAATAATATTACTAGTGTATAATCATGTGATCAATAATTTTTTCGATCGATCGAAAATAATTTAGAAAAATATGGCTCAGTCGTCCAGAAATTACCACATCGGTAATATTTAATATGACCGGATCGACAAACTTTAATCTCCGATTCTGTGAATTTTTTTTTGGTGAAACTCACACGAAGACCAGTGATTTCAGAGGAGCATCAATCATTCATGCGTCTCACAACGTAATTTTGGCGTGATATCCCGTGGTACTTTATTCGCGTACTTAATTTAATTTCTGAATTACAAAGCAAAATACTTTTGTCTCCGAGAATAGCGAATAACATATGACGTTTTTTGAAGATTGAAAAATTTTCGAGGAAAAATGTTTTGCGGGATTTACCTCCAACACCACTCATTATCGAAATGATTCCGTACTTGACCCATCAAGGACGAGGTCCGCATTATCCATCGACCCTTGCGTTGGAGAATAGCTTTTCTTCAAATCCAATAAGAAAACAACCTAGTTTTTAACCTCTGTATTATGACACTTATGAAAAAATTTCATTGAAAAACAGAAAAATTCTATTGGACTTTTATTGAAATTTCTATTAATTTTCGCCTGATTCTATTGAAAATTTGTGCAGCATATGTGAATTTTTTTTTCAATATAAATGTCCAATGGAAAATCTCCACGTGAAAAAAAGAATAGAATTCGATTTTTCTATATACCTTCTTCTATTTAGATCGTCTCTATAAAAATTCTTCGGCTCAAGTTTTCCATTTTTTTCGTTTAATTTGTTTAATGAAAAAAAAAGATGGAGTGGGAAAAACTTGGAAAATTCATGTCGAAGAATTTGTACGGAAAATGTTTTAATAGAAAATTTTGTTTATAAAGAAATGAAATTCTATTAAAGTTTTCTAGAAGTAAATTTGTTTTTATTCGATATTTTCTATAAAAAACGCATTGTAAAGCTGCGGAATTCTTCGATAGAATTGGTCAAAAACTAAAAAGATTTTCAATGGGAATTAGTAGTAATTCCATCGCATTTTCTATCCAATTCGCTTAGTTATTCGATAATTTTATTTGTCAGTGGAGTCATCGTTAGAAGTGATTCATGTAAAAAAATTTGGTATTAAACACTTTCCCAGTTGATTTAAAAATGAAGTTTGTTGATTTCTGAAAGCAAACGTTATAAACTCGTCAATGCTAATTCATGAATCAATAAATGCTTTTCAAATGAAATTGAGTTGAAGTCGAATTTTTGAACTTTCAACAAGTGCGTAGACTGGATTGGAATCACCCAATTGTTGCTCACCATATTCAACAAGTTGGCAATTCCTAACGTAGTTGGAAGAACTATTTTCACCAGCGATAAGAGGAAATATTATAAGAATTGATGGTCAGTCTATAACACATTATGATATTTATTTTAGTTCATTCATAGCAACATTTACTGCAAGGTTACAGGCAAAGAATATCGTTATGAATGCCATGAAATATACATTATGAAGGATACTTTCTCGTGACGCGTAATCGAATTCTGATTGATTCCACAATGATGGAAGTCGGGCTGAAGCCATTACAGCTGAGGGACTACGACTACGACTGTTTTGGGGTGCCACTTGTTGGACTTCACGTGTCCAAGAACATGAACGCACGACAAAATTTAATAGAAAAACCTAGCGAATTCGCTAGAGAATTAGACGCATCTAATAGAATTCCATTAGATTTCTATTGAACTTTCTATTAGTTCTTGGCTAATTATATTGAAATGTTCAATAGAACATATTCTATAGAAAAAGTTCATGGAATTTGATTTTCCTATTCAACTTATTCTGTATGGAGATATTTTCCATAGTATTCCATATTATTCCATAGAATTATTTTCCATAGAATTTTCTCGGCTGACATTTTTCTCATTCCATTGGCTGAAGTTTTTTTCATTCCATTTTTCTTTTTTTTCATCAAGAAAATCAAACAAGAAAACTTGAAAATTTTGAGCCGAGGAAATTCGATAGAAAATATCTTAATCGAATAAATTGTATAGAAAAATCGAATTCTCTTTACTTTTTCTATAGAATATTTTATATTGAACATTTCAACAGAATGAGCCAAAAACTAATAGAAATTCAATGGAATATATAAATTGTTTATCTGATTTTCGTAAATGATTTATTTGGAATAAATAGAGGAGGGCCGGGAAAATGGGACGTGTTGAGACCTTTTTACATTGTCAATATTTATTAGAAAAAATCATGGAAAGTCCCATTTAATCCGACTCTCTCCTAGTTTTCTCGACTTTAATGCAAATTTTATTTTAAAATAATAAATTGTTTATTTGATAAACTTAAATCCTTTCTTTTTAAACACGTAAAAAATTTCAAATAAAATTTTTTATTTGATTCAAATGAAACATTTTTTTGGGTGTACTTTTTCATTAAAATCTAAGAAGTTTCACTGTCAATATAAAAAAGGTCAGCTGATTGACACGTTGTTTAACTGGACACAGTGCGACACTTAATGAATTAATTTAATTAGTTTAATTCAATTAACTCAATTTACTAATTCAATTCACTTATTTTAATGAATTTAATTGAATGATCTCAATGTCGCCTTGCGTTTGGTTCATCCTATATTTTTGCTAACTGGCTTTCTGTTTATTCACATATTTTGGTTATTTGTTTGCACACTACGTGTTCCGGCACTAATATTAATAGAAATAATTTGACTAGAGGTAGATTGCCGTCAAGAGCCTGATGAAACTAAAATAATTTAGTGAAACGTCGCACTATGACAATTTAATTAACGACGTAATTATTTCTCCAATATCCCCTGACCTTTCTGATATTGATTAACATCATGGAGCTGAGAACAATCGATTTACCGCACTGAAAAAAAAAAATTCTAGTATCTGAAACATCTTTTCTTGAAGCAAGTAATTTTTCTTCAATTGTTTAATTATCCGAACTCACGTGGTCCGAGAAAGGGCTCATGCTTTAAAATATTCTTGTACTCCAGTAAAATTTTGTCGCAAATGAATTCACTCAAATCTCGTAAAAGAATTGTCAATCTTCAAGTATTTATGGGTTTCATAATTTTTTTGTTATGCAGTTCCAATATTTCGATACGGAATATATTCATGATACAATGCGCAACGATAGTGATAAATGAGAATCCATTTGAGTTTCGTGAACCGCAAACATTCTGAGATTTGAACCATTGAAAATTATTTACTTCTCTCAAGTAAATATGGTCTACGTATTATGAAATTTTTCTCTCAGTGTGTCAATTACCGAATTTTTATCCCTCACATATTTTCGTTATTCGAAACAAGCATTCCTGAGAGACAATCTTGCTCTTCGCTTATCTAGATTCGTTAAGAATCCTAAAGATTAGTAACTCAATAGCCTGCAAACTTTTTTCTCAAACTATACAAAATGATGATCTGCCTATTCAAACAGTGTAGTAAAGCTCAATCATGCAAGTTTAATCATATAGAGAGTTTCCATTTGCTTATCTATAGAAAGTTGACAAGTACTTGAGCCAACGAGCTGTGAAAAATTGACATTCTACGTTTTACCACCACTGAATTAATGATGAGAGAAGCGTGCGGATTACGAGAATAAGGAAGACCGCGATCGGGATTCCAGAAATAAACACCGAGGATGTGGAATATATCAAAACAGTGAGGTGTTCGGTTTGGTTTGAGTTCAATAAAGAAGTCAAATCGAAAGTTCATCCCCCGTGAGCTCTGGTCCTTTTCAACTTTGCCAATAGGAAAGTTCCGTGAGGGGCTGCGGTAACGCAGAAATTTCACTGTTCAGTGGAGATTGGAAAAGTTGAGGATATATACGAGATAAATTCAAAATGGATGTTTGCATTGAGGTCAGTGAACCTAGAATTGTAAACACTACATTACACAGTTATTATTTT